TATATTACAAAATTTTTATATAAACCGAAAATTCACTTCACAGAATTTTTTTTTGTCCAATTTTTATTTGTCAGAATTTTTATTTTCTCGAATTTTCATTTAACATAATAGGCTTTTTAAAGAATTTTTATTGGGTAGAATTTCATTACATAAAATTTTGTTTCAGATGAATTTTTATTTGTTCGAATTATTATTTTCATATAATTTCCATATAACCGATTTTTCATACTACAGAATTTTTACTTAACCGAAAAATCATTTAACAGAATTTCTAATTGATGGAATTTTAATTTGTCCAAAATTGCAAATGGCCGAAACAACAATGGATTTCGGCGCGATTTTTAAAATCAACCAATTACAATTTTATGGATAATTTTTGATTGGTTAATTTTAAAATTCGCGCCGAAATCTTTCTGTCGATTATTTGTTTGGCACAAAATTTTAAACCTATCCAACTAAATTTATTTTTTTTATCTCCAAACAAATTTTTTCTTATTCAACTGCTCACTATAAATAATTTTCGCTTCTCTCTTTCTTAAAGTTTTAAATAAAATTAATTTTAATACTTAAAAATTCAGTGCAGTAATGAAATCGATTAATAAACTTGCCAATAAAAGCATGCCAGCCATGATAGTTATTTGATATCAATTCAGGTATCAAAAAAGTGATCCCAAATTTCCGAATTATTTCTAAAAAATGATCCTAATATTTGGTTCAATTTGATAGCATTTATATCGAATCAAAATGTTGCATTCCAAAGTGGTACCATGAAATTATTACACTGAGAAAAAAAATTTAGTATTTGCAACTAAATTGTTTGGTTAGGCAATTTTGGTTCTTGTAACCAAATTTTGGTTGGCTGAAACAAAGTCATAGGGTTATCTCAACCAAACATTTGGTTAGGTCAACAAAATTATTTGGTTCAACATTTTTAAATTCCAACCAAAATTTAGTTACGACAACAAAATAATTTGGTTAACACAACAAAATAGTTTGGTCTAAGAAACCAAATGATCGTTTGTTGTCCTAACCAAAATTTGGTTGCCACAACCAAATTAGTTTGATTCGCTCTTAGATCATAGCTTAAGAGAACAGTTAGTTTAAATCTTTCACAAGGATGGGTAGTCCAGTGGTCAGAGCTCCCGACCTTCAGTTTTAAAACAGAGGTTCAATCCCAGGCGGAGGTGAGATTTTTCAAAGTCCATAAATATTTCAATTGGATAAATATAAATTTAATGTTAAATTGATAAATAAATAATGAAATAAATAAAAAAGATAAAAAGAAAAGAGATAAGGTAGAATAAAATTTTTAATTTTACAAAAAAAACTGTTTGTTTGATCAACCAAACATTTTTGTTGACCTAACAAAAAAAATTTGGTTGAGCTAACCAAACATTTTTGTTATGCCAACAAAAAACACTTAACCTAATTTTTTGGTTGACTCAAACAAATAGTTTGGTTGCTTAAATACCAACAAAATTTTTTTGTTGGCCCAACCAAATTTTAGTTGCTCTGACTAAACATTTTTCTCAGTGTAGTGATTGTAAACTTTCAGCTTTGATGTTTAATGATCTAAAATATCTGAACATAAACTCAAACTAAATACTTTAGACAACAATAATATGTAATTTTGTTTTAAGGATTGTGACCGTAATATAAACTCAAATTTAAAAATGGGTTTTTAATAATAATTTATTTTGTTCTGGGCAAAACATAAGAACAATAATAAAAATACAGAAAAAATAATACATATAAGAAAAAAGAAAAATTTGATAACATAATAAAATAACATAGTTTTAACTATGTTTTTAACGCAAACTAAAAAATAATCATAAAAATATAAAAATCTTTTTGTCAACATTTTTGTTTTTTTTTCTTTTAATTTTTTCGCAATTTTTATCAAATTTTAATAAAATTCTCTATAATCGTAATTTTTTCAATGTTGTTAAATATTTGTTTTTATCTAAATATAATTTTTTAACAACATTGAAAAAATGATTACGATTGTAAAGAATGTTTTAATTAGTAAAATAAGCCGTTGTTTATAAAAATTTAATAAAAATTGCAATTATTGTCTGAGTTGAAAGAAAAAAAATTTAAAATTTAAGGGGGGAAACTCGTGTAAATGCACATTTTTTCAGGAATTTGTTTTTAAAAACTGGTAAAGTTTATTGAATTAAAGTAAAGCATGCCTTAAAGTACCTACACAAGCTTTATGTAACCTTAAATTTTTCAATTTTTTTAAAAACCCTATTATTAAAAAACTATTAAAAATTAGATGTTGGAACTCACCAAAAACATAAATCACTTTATTCTGCACAGAGGAAAGAAAGAATTATTGCAAAAATTTATTATTTTTCGATGATATACGATTTTAAAAAAAATTTTATTTAAATATTCTCAAGATTTTTATTTACTTATAACCTTTTTGTCGGTGCTCCGAAAAAATTGAGGTTTTGCACAAAGATTTTTTATAATATTCTTTACCTTCCTTTAAAATCTCACGAAGATGTTTTGCTTCGTTTTGGAGATATTAATTTTCAAAATTTTCTATTTAAAAAGGTTAATTAAACGACTTGAAGTTAACCGACCAAATTCAAACTGCTCCATATTTTATAAAAATATATTAAAATGTAGCGATTTTAAATTGGTCAGTTAACTTCAAGTCGTTTTATTAACCTTTTTAAATAGAAAATTTTGAAAATTAATATCTCCAAAACGAACCAAAACACCTTCGTAAGATTTTAATAGAAGGTAAAGAATATTATAAAAAATCTTTGTGCAAAACCTCAATTTTTTCGGAGCACCGACAAAAAAGTTATAAGTAAATAAAAATCTTGAGAATATTTAAATAAAATTTTTTTTAAAATCGTATATCATCCAAAAATAATAAATTTTTGCAATAATTCTTTCGTTCCCTGTGCAGAATAAAGTGATTTATGTTTTTGGTGAGTTCCAACATCTAATTTTTAATAGTTTTTTAATAATAGCGTTTTTAAAAAAATTGAATAATTTAAGGTTACAAAATCACATTGTGAACCTTCTACTTTTGATATTTTATATTTTTAACGGGAATAAAATTTTTACCATAATATTATGGTTAATGAACTCAGGGAATCATCGAGTTTTACATATATTAAAACTAGATTTTTTAAAAATTTGGTCGCAACCACTATTAGACGAAAGTCAGTGGACTGACCCAAAACAATTGTTAAAATTTTTTTTAAAAAAACGGAGCTCGTCATGCAATAGCCAGTAAGACAAAAAAGATTTATGGTAAGTTTGATTAAAATCGGTTAAAAATTGGTTGAGTTACATTGCACGGCGCGCGAAAAAACACGTTTCGAGAAAAACGCGTTTAAAGTTTTCGATACATAAAAGTAGTGTTTTAACTATTGCCTTGAAGACGTTATGTATTTGAAAATAACTATATTGCACTTAAAATAAAGATTTACTATCACTTGCTTATGGTGCTTGCTAATGACAATTAATAAAATTATATTGCCAAGAAACCGAAAGAATAGAGAGATCTCGTGTTCATCGTTAATTGCATTTGGTAGCATCTGAAGTGCTAAACTTATGTTTACTATAGATATTCATACATCTAATTATAGATTAGTAATGTAGGATCATATTCTACATATAGTAAACTAATTTTTAAAGCAAAAAAAAAAAAATTGTAAAAAAGTTTTTTTTTACACGAGTTTCCCCCCTTAAATAATCATTATTTGACGAAAGATTTTAACTTAATATTTTTTAAAATGTGTATAACTGTATCTTTCAAAATTAATTGAAATTAATTTTTCTAATACATAGTTTTATTTACGTTAAAAACGATTTTTAACTTTGAAATTGTGTTACAGTCACCATCCTCTTTAAGTGAAATTAATTTTTGACTCTACAATTGGCGATTCAAACAACACTAGCGCCACTGTTGAACTAACGTAAGCGTGACTCGCTCTAAAGCAGTCTCTGTTTTGACAGTTTATTTCAAATTATTTAATTATTCTGATATTTTATTGCGTTTGTAAAATAATTTTTAAGCGTTAAATAAAAAAAAAAAAATTAAAACACATGGAGTGCTACAGAGCGAGTCACGCTTTAGTTCAACTGTGGCGCTAGTGTAGCTGTTTGAATCGCCAATCGTATAAAGGCACTCTCACACCTTTTTGGCTGCCTGCAGATTACCATGGCAACGCATGAGAGTGAGTGCGACAGAAAATTTAAAAATTTGAATATCCAAATTTTCTGTCTTACTCACACTTGTGCGTTGCCATGGTAACCTGCAGGCAGGCAGGCAGCCAAAAAGGTGTGAGAGTGCCTTAAAGAGTACACTTAAGTTATTTAATATGAACCTCCATTAAATAAAGTTATTAATTTTCTTTTTTTAATAAAAATAAAATAATATAAATAAAAATATTTTGATTTTTGACGTTAATGGGCCAAATGTTGGTTATGGGTAAAAAAAAGTATTTTAAATTTTCTTTTATCTCTAAGGAGGTTATGTTTTAAGAAATTTTCATTGGTAAAATAACATGCTGCATTGTTTTTTTTTTTACATTGTAAGATTTGTGGTCACTTTTTTTCCAACGTTAGACATTGTAAAATTACAATGGCATTTTTTAGTGTAAATCAAATTAAAATTTTTTTTGACTTTCAGCTTTTTGTTCAAAATTTGTTTTGACTTTTTGTTAAATCTTTCTATGTATATATCTGAATAATCTTAAATATTTGATATGATTTGCATCAATTATTTTTAATAAAATTCAACCATTACAGAATTGAGTAGAATTTTGAGAATATTACACTGAACAAAATAAGTTATTATTTATTTAAATCGCATAAAATATAAAATAATATTTACGAAAATTGAAGAAAAACTCAAAATGACAAATAATTTTTATATTTATTATTATAATTATTATATTGGAATAAAATAAAATAATAAAAATAAAATTTTTCGTAATATAAATAATTACAAATATGTTTCTCTTTTGCAGTTTCCTAGACAAAGTAGCCATCGTAAAACAACCTGACTACACGCCAACGGAACAGGTAATAATTCTTTTAATTGTAAATAAAATATTTCTTTTTTCTGATGGAATTAATAATAAAAGTGAAATATTACTAACTTGTAGTTTTACTAAAAATTATTGCAAAAAAAATATTTTCCACAATGAAAATTATAGATTTTTTTTTCTATTTATGTAGAAATATTCTTTAACACACTATAAAGGCAATTATAATATGATTAATTTTTTTACAGGATATTTTAAGATGTCGTGTGCTCACATCCGGTATCTTCGAGACACGGTTTCAAGTTGACAAAGTAAACTTTCAGTAAGTTTTTTTTTATATTAAATATTAATTTTTGAATGACTCTCTAATTTGTTTTTGTTTTTTTTTCTATTGAAAAAAATAAATCTTTTAAGTACCAATATTTTTAACTTGAAATATATTAAAATGAAAAAAATATTATATTCCGAAATATATTTTTTTTAATCAAATGTTTATTTTATTATTTTTGAGAATAAAAAAAAAATTCGTATACAAATTGAATGAAAAAAAGGGAAATTATATAATAATAAAATGCTTGGTCTGTTCTTCTGGCCTAACTTGAAGTTGGCCTTTTCTGATTTCACGTGTTTTTTTGAATAGTAATCTTATGATGTGTCAAATTTTGACAATTCTTTTTCTCATTTTTGTCAAAGTTGTATACCTAATTGTGTTTCCAAATTTCGGAATAAGTTTCTTTAAAATTCCAAATTCAAAAATTCAATTCACGAAGCTGAAGTACACAACGTTTACCAACGAAATTTTTTTTAAAGTTGTATATTGATTCGAAAATTGTATACAAATACAAAAAAATTATGATGAGAAAAAAGATGCGCCAGGAAATTTCGTACAAGATAGTAATTTGAAAAAAATTTATTTTTAAAAATTAATTTTTAAGTTACCAGGGGCCAACGAATACCTATTAAATATTAATTATAAAAACACAGGCCTCGAATCAACTTAAAGACACAAAAAGTCGTTTTAGTCGATTTATATTCCAAAAAAAGTGGATTGGTTTTTTATTTTAACAAAAATATTTTACAGATTTTTAAATAAAAATTTTTTTTTTAATAATAATCCTTTTCGAAGGGTTAAAGTTGAAATTTTTAGAAATAATTAAATTTCAAAAGATATTGTTAATTTTCAAACAATTATTAAATTTTACAGAACTAAAAATAATTTATCAAACAATTTTTGGAAAACATTATTTAAATTTAATTGAATTTTCAAAGATTTCAAATTGAGATTTTTGAAATTAATTGAAACTTTAAGTGATTTTTAATTAAAATTTTAGATGATTTCACTAAAAATTTATTAGAAAATGCGGACAAAATACAATAATTTGAAAATCATTTTTAATTGAAAAATGGTTTCAGATAGTTCAATTTTCAAAGAATATTATTAAAATAGTCAAAAATAATTGATTATCCTTAGAGTTATAATTGAAATTATTAAATTTCAAAAAAAAAAAATTTTTCGATGGAAAATTTTAGAAATAATTAAATTTTAGATGCTTTTAAATTTAAATGATTGAAAATTCAAATAATTTTGAATTCAAATTTTTGAGAATAATTAAATTTTATTTGATTTTAAATTTGGAAAATAATTGAATTTCAATTCATTGTGAATTGAAAATTTTTTGAAATAATTGAATTTTAATTGAAATTTTGGATAATAATTTAATTTAAGTTCATTTTTGATTGAAAATTTGGATAATTAATTTTGAATAGAAATTTTAGAAAATAATTGAATTTTATTTCATTTTAAATTGAAAACTTGGTAAATAATTAAATTTTAAATTGAAAATTTTGGATAATTATTGAATTTTAATTGATTTTGAATTAAAATTTCTGGTAATAATTGAATTTTAGTTTATTTTGAATTGAAATTTTTAAAAAATAATTCAATTTTATTGTGATATTTTTTTTTTAAATTATAAACAATTGTTAAATTTCATAAAAATTTTAATTGAAAAATAATTTTGATATAATTGAATTTGTGATGTATTTCATTAAAATTATTAAAAATAATTAATTTAGTGAAGAATCATTTTAGTTCAAAATTCACATGAAAAAAAAGTAGAATTTTTATCCCAAAATCGGTATAAAAATTACCTGCAACAAATTTTATCCTAGTTGAGGGCGCCACCGTCTATGTGAATTAGCATTGGTGAAAATTACCCGCAACAAAATTTACCCAGCGTTTTTTCTGTGTTTGTTAAATAATTGAATTGAGGAAGATCTGAAGAAGATCTACATTTTATACTAAAAAATGTATTTCATTTACAATTTTTTTTTTCAAATGTAAAATAATGTCGCATTTTATTAAAATAAGTCGATAAAAGTCGTATTTTTGAAAAAAGTCGGAAAAAGTCGTATAATCCGAGGCCTATGAACATATAATTTTCATTATTATCATTTAATATGTAATAATATTCTAATAAATTAAATTATTATTGATAATATTAATCTTTAATTTCTTTATAACAAACAATAAAATACTCAATTTGGCGCGCTTGCGCGTGTTTAATTTTGCTAGTTAATTAATAAAATAATTAATAATTAAAATAAAAGGGAAATTTTATATTGAAATACCTGTATACACTAATTTTAAAGAACATATCAAATTAATATTAAATATATCAAATTGATACAAATTTTTATATCAATATGATATTTTTTGTATCAATTTGATACTTTTAAATTAATGTTTAAAAAAAAAAATTGAATTCCGTAATATATTTTGCGATACATATATGTATATAAATAGACAAAAGTATAGAAATTTTCCCTGTTTAAATTTATAACATTTTTAAATTAATTGTAATAATTAAATTAAAAATCTTATAAATTTAAACAGGGAAAATTTTCTTAAAATATTGATATTTCTATACTTTTGTCTATTTCTATATACATATATGTATCGCAAAATATATTACGGAATTCAATTTTTTTTTCTATACAGAAATAATTTCACATAGAATATAATATGTCATAAAAAAAACTGTCGTCAGTGTTTTTAGCTTTGAAGGTGACTTTTAGTATATATAATATATGTATATGTATATTATAATCTCTCAAAGTAACGTGGTTAGAATTACACCTTCAACATGTAAACGCGATGTTTATAGTTCATGTAGTAACATCTTGTCGGCGATACGTCTAGTTAGTCATCTCCTCTAACGTTACTGTACCGTGTAATTTCTGCATGTTATAAAAAGAACTAAGAAAAAAGTAGAATTTTTGTTTTTATGTTTAATAAACTCCATCCGCTGCAGTTTATATTCATTTTATATATGGAACATAATATTATATCAATATTAAAAAAAAAAAAGTTTTTTTCAAAGGTCAACAAAATATGTTTGTTACTAAAAGAATTTAAACTTATTTTAACATAAAATCTAAGGTGTGTTTGCTATTTATTAATAAAGAAATTAAGAGTGAAGGAAAATATCAATAAATATATAATATATATAGATGCGTGTTAATAAATATTTTTAAAAGAAAATATTAGAAAAAAAATAATAATTTGGGGAATAAATAAAATATTAATACAAAATTAAATTAAATACTATTGATTCAAATATAGTTTATTTAATTCAAATAATAATTATTTGGTTCAAGTAAATATTTGATTTCATATAGACTCGCGAGATTTTTTGTCAAAACCGGGATTTTGACAACTTTTTTTTACAAATTAGACATACTTTTTCTACACATTAGAATCAACTAGAATTTTTGAATAACTATATATTTTAATCTCTTGAATGTGACCCATTTTACACTGACACACGCATGATTTAGAAAACAATCAGGCAAAGTATATAAATATCCTCTTCATACACTTCTATAATAACATCAAATTATATTTTAAACTTTACTTCGCTCCATCTCATCTCGATTTCATTTTTTCATCCTTCTCCGTAGGGAAAACAAATGACGACCTTTTTAATATTCACTGTAAAACTAGAGGTATTAATTTAATACCAATTTTAGGTACTAAATTGCTTTTTGTTTCTATTTTAATACCTAAAATCGGTACTATTTTAGTACCTTCTTTTTACAGTGTTTGTTTTTTAAAAAATACGATCAATTTTTAACAAAATTTGTTTGACATACTGAATTGGATATTTGGAATTTTTCTAAACTGATTACAAATTCGTGATCAGCGACCTTGATGAATTTATTGATTTGAATCTAAGGAATTTAAAAAAATCCATCTGTCATATTGTATCCTAACATTTGGAATTTATGTAATTTGACTACCTATTTGTAATTAGGGATCTCAAAAATTTCCTAGTGACAAGTTTCAAGAAATTCTCTAAACTGACTTCAAATTTTTAATCATCGACCTCAAAAACGTCATATACATTCTCTGAGAATTCACAGAAAAATCTGAACTCAAAGTGTGTACGAATTTCGTATTCAAATTGATATGCATAAAAAATGAAATTGGTTGTCTCATTTCGAGTTCAAAGGTAAAGGTACTCTCTCACTTTCTGCCTGCATGCATGCATACAGGAGTTGTCATGACAACGTGGAGGAGTAAGTGAGAGAAAAAATTCTAATTTGAATTTACTATCTCTATTGCTCTTGTACGTTGCCATGACAACTCCTGCTTGCATGCATGCGCATGCAGAAGGTGAGAGAGTACCTTTATAAAGCATAAAAATGAAACAGGCAAGATTCATTTTGAGAATAAAAAAAGGGGAAAATATTGTGAAATAACGAATAATTTTACACAAATACATGAAATATAATAATTACCAGACGCAAATAATATGCTAGACTTAATATATTTAATTGAAAACTGCTTGTAATCGCGTACAACTCTTTCAAAGGAACTTTTTACTTAAAAATTTCTAAATATTCGTACACTGAAAGACTTTTTGTTTGAAAAATTAATATGATTTGTTTGAAAATGAGGATAATTCTTTTTTTATGCAATTTAGTCGTATGAAATGTAACAATTTTTAACCAAATAATACTGAAAATTAATATGACCATACTAATTTTCGGTATGATTTGATTTAAACACTGATACATTCATACAACTAAATCGCATAAAAACAGAATTATCCTCATTTTCAAACAAATCATATTAATTTTTCAAACGAAAAGTCTTTTAGTGTACTGGTAAAAATAATCTTTCTGGTTATTTGTTAAAATATTAGAAAAAATAATTGTATTAAAAAATTATTCTGCAAATGATGCTAACCTAGAAATCTGAAATTCCGGGAAGTATCATTTTGAGTAACATAAAGTTTGTCCCTTACTTATTTCAATACTCAACTCAAAATGAATTGCAATAAAAAAAAAAATTAGTCCAAGTTTTTTCTGTGAAGAAAATCACTAAAAATTGGAAGTTATTTGATTGGCTTAATACTTTGGTAAATTGTTGTTCTATATTGAGAGGAAGAAATTCCTAAAATATTAGCTCATTTAAAAAAAAAATTATAAAAAGTACTGGCGATTGAAATTTTGACATTTTAGATAACACTTATTTATAACTCCGTTTCCTTCAAAATTATTTTTCATTTTGAAGGTACAATCTCACCTCTTGGCTGCCTGCCTGCAGGAGTTGTCATGACAACGTACAGGAGTAATAAAGATAGTAAATTCAAATTTTCTCTCTCTTTTACTCCTGCACGTTGCCATGACAATTCCTGTAGGCAGGCAGGCAGCCTTAACCTCTTTTCCCTTTTTTCGTTATTCGTTATATAAAAACAGGACAAAAAAATGGGGTCCATGCTAAATAAGTATAATAGTTATAGTCTTATAGTAATAGTGACGTACTTTAAAAGCAAAAAATTGATGACCGCGAAGTACGACATATAGTCTGTACCATAGAGTAGTATAAGGAGACTGAACGACGTACATTGAAAGTGGACCAAATTTTGATAACCGCTTAGTGTCATGAAAATACGTAATGGAACACAAGCGCTCTCGTGGGAAGTATGTAAAGAGTGGGAAAAATTAGAAGTACGTTGAACATAACCCAAAAATACATTGCTCCTTATTTTTAAAACTTTTACAATGGCTGACTGTCCAGCTGAGTTTAACACAATAAGTGGCGCTAGTGTTCCATACGTATTTTCATGACACTAAGCGGTTACCAAAATTATGTAGGTCCACTTTTAACGCAGATTTAACATGGTCGTTCGGTCTCCTTATACTACTCCATGGTCTATTGGGATATCCGCTGGGGGCGTGGCTTAGCATATTATCCTACGTTCAGTAGTACCATTTTTCACCACTATGTCTGAAAGTTACTCTGATTGGTTTAAACTGGACAAAAATTGACGAACATCCTACTTTCAAGGGTTAAAAATGTTTTCAACAGAGAGCGCTTCACAGTAACGGACATCCCAATACCTAAAATAGCAAGAGCTTCATCCTTTTTGGTGCATAAATTCTTGCAACCTGCGATGGTTCCAAAGGAAAAGTAGGCGTGGACAAAACGCAGGTTGCAAGAATTTATGCACCAAAAAGGATGAAGCTCTTGCTATTTTAGGTAGACTATATAAAATATGCTAAAATGGTTAGTTTGTTTTGTATGTTTACTATATTTTTTTTTGCGTCACTGAATCTGAATCCAAGGCCTAATCAACCCCATAACTTCAGGATTCTGTCATAATCTAAAAAAATGTGTTTTTTTTGAGGTTATGACAGAATACTGAACTGATGGATTTAAATGGGCCTCGAATTCGGATTCAGCGACCCCAAAAACATATATAGTAAACATATAGTCAGACCCTTAGATCAGAACTTTTTTATTTTTTTTGTGTGGCTGTGTTTTAATTTAAGAATATCTTTATGGCGCCTATTTAAGAATATTTCCCATGCATTTTATTCTTAAAGTTAGAATAAAATATTCTTAAAATAAGACCTAGTATGGGAAAATGTGTATTGGTAGTATACATTTCACTCTAAAATGAGAAAAGATTTTTCTCTACAATTTTGAGTGATTATAGATTAGGGTACAAAGAATCTCGTTGTTCTCCGAAAAATACATAATTTTGAGTTAAATTATTAAAAAGTGACATTTTTAAACGAAAATGAAAAGAAACATGGCGGCGCATACCCTCTAAATCTGAATCAGTCATATTTTATTGATTAGCAGTAGAAATCTACTAATTGCCATAGCGAGAATTGAGCAACTGACAATTAGTAGAAATTTACTGATTCAATTAGTAAAATATTAATTATTACTGATTGAATCAGTAATATAAATATATGGCAGCGGCCACAAAATCTACTGATTTAATAGTTAATTTTAAAGGTTATGTTATATACAAATTACTGATTTACATAAGTTATTTTCTATTGCTTGCATATTGACTAATTATATTAGTAAATTTCAAAAAATAACTGAAACGTCAGTTAAAATGAAAAGTACTGATTGAATTAGTAAAATTTCTACTGATTCAGATATAGAGAGTACACAGACGTTATGCGTTAGTGAGTCAGTGCTCCAGTAAACAGCGCCAATTCGAGCGAGTGGCCGCTGAATGAACTATGATAAAACACATTATTTTACTATTTATTGCTTTATTTTTATTAGTTTTGCATTAAGTTATAGTAAATGAGAAGAATAGCGAGATTTCTTGTACCAAACTAAATCATTTTTCCAAAAATTTTAGCTCGAAATCATTTTTTATTTCAGAGAAAGTTTCAAATCACAAAAAAAACGTCCTTTGCCCACATACCATTAAGAAGATAAATTTTTAAATTTGGAATTTCGTTTTTATTTTAGTTAAGATACATTATTCATTTTTATAAAAATTTGAAGTCACAAATTTTTACTTTTTTCTTTCCATACTTACATTTTTAGAAATCGGAGTCTAACTTTACACCAAAAAGATTGAAATAATATTTATATTTTTAATCTCAAAAAGTGTAAATGTTTGCATGTCATTGGTTGGAAAAAAAACATTAAGCCAATGAAATGAAAACATTCACACTTATTGAGATTGAAATTCAATCTTTCTAGTGTAAAGTTGATGTCCGATTTTTAACAGTGATATTCATCAGATATAGGCAAGCTTTTTTTTTTATTATTATTTTACACATTAAAAGAAATTTTTTGATAGTTTCAACCCTTTTGGTGTTCATTGTGGAAAGTCAAAAACTACTATGGTCCATTTATTCTGGTACATAAAATTTACATCTAATCGAGCTGTATATAGGATATGTATAGTTATTATGTGAAAAAGAAGTCTTCTGTTTCATTTTTTACAGATGGCGTCTCTCAGTTTTTTTATTCACAATTGATTAATTGTTTGTTATTGTTGTTGTTTTTTTGCAGCATGTTTGACGTTGGTGGCCAAAGAGATGAAAGAAGAAAATGGATACAGTGCTTTAACGACGTGACGGCAATCATATTCGTTACAGCTTGTAGTAGTTACAACATGGTGCTCAGGGAAGATCCAACAAAATTAAGACTTCGAGAAAGTCTTGATTTATTCAAAAGTATCTGGAATAATAGGTACAATTTTGATTTCTCCTTATTTAATGCAATTTTTCACTTATTGTAAGTTTTATAATTTAAATTTTGTAATTTATTTATTTAAATTATTTTATTTATTTTTATTTTGGTAATAAATAAATTTTCTTTTCTTCGGAAATATTAATTCGTTAAATTTGAATGGATAATTTAATTTTATAATAATGGTAAATAACTTCTTTTTTTTATGACAGATGGCTTCGCACAATTTCCGTTATTTTATTCTTAAACAAGCAAGATTTACTTGCGGAAAAGGTAAAAGCGGGAAAGCACAAATTGGAAGACTACTTTCCAGAATTTGCGAGGTATCAAACGCCAGTCGAACCTGGAGTTGTTACGGATTCGACGGAGCCTCCGGATGTCATACGGGCCAAGTACTTTATTAGAGACGAATTTCTCGTAAGTTTATATTTTTCTTTAGTATAGATTTAGTATAATTGAATTCGTGGTTTATCTTTAGATATTTTTTTTTTTTATCCATTTTTCTCCTCTAAATTTGAATTAGTGAGAATTCATTCACTAATTCAAATTAGTAAAAATTTCCACTAATTTTTTAGTAAAATATTACTATTTGATTTAGTAATATTTTTTTTTTTTACTAAAGTTTTAGTAAAAAACGACTAAAAGTTCGTGGAAATTTTCACTAATTCAAATTTAGAGAGTCCTTAATTAATTTTAGTGCGCTTATTCAAAATATCGAGCAATGGAAATGAGTTTCGGTTTATAAAATTATTTTGCTATTGTAGAGAGACTATTATCTACAGAAATTGAGTCATTTATGTTCTGAACCCTGCTTGGATTTAATATTATTATTTTTTCAAAAAGTGATAAATTTTTTTTTTTAATATATTCAGCTTTCTAGTTTATTTTTAATTATTCATTTCCATTTGAGACGAATTGATATAATTTCAAATTAAAATTTGTATTTAAGCCAAATAAAATTTATTTATTTTTTTTTGCAAATTAGCTAAAAGAAGTAAAATGCGAAGACTTTGATCAAATTTCTACCGCTAGAGGGTAGCACGTAACGGGTCAATAAAATTATTTAATTTCACTTCCTGACGCTGTATATTATAAAAAAATTTTAAATTTCTTTGGCTCAAATGAAAATTCCGATATTTAAGAAACTTACTATTTTTTAAAATTTTGAGAAAACTATGGAATTTTTGAAAAATAAAATTTTAAATTATTTATTCGCCTTGGCAGCCATTTTTACAAATTACCATTGTTGAATCTCTATAATATGAGAAATTTATTATTATTATTATTATTATTTTCCTTTTAAGAATTTTTAATTTAATTTTTATTTTACAGTTATTTTCTTTACATTAATTTTTTATTTGAAAGAATTTTAAATGTCAGAATTTTCTATTCACCGAATCTTAATTTGTCCAAATTTTTATTTGTACGAATTTTTAAAACGCCAATTTTTCATTTCTCCGAAATTGCAAATGTCCGAACAAACAATCAACAACAAGATTTCGGCGCAATTTTTAAAATTTACCAATTAGAAATTATCCATAAAATCGTGATTGATCAATTTTAAAAATTGCGCCAAAATCTTTCTGTCTGATATTTGTAATTTCGGACAAATGAAAATTCAACGTCTTAAGAATTCTATTAATGAAAAATTTGTACAAATAAACATTCTGATAAATTAAAATTCGATGAATTGGAATTTCTGTCATTTAAAAATTCGAATAACATAAAATTCGATTGAATGAGAATTCTGATAAATAAAAATTCGCTTAAATTAAAAATTCTTTTAAATAAAAAGTCATTTAAATTAAATGACTATAAAATAAAAATTCTGCCAAACAAAAATTCGGTAGCTAAAAAATTTTTATTAAATAAAAATTCGTATAAAAAGAAATTCTTTCAAATGCTAATTGAAAATTCTTCAAAAAAATAATTATTTCTAATGAAAATTCAAACTAATGATTTTTTGTGGGATACTTATACGCCCCTTGTAAAATACTTGAAAATTGATAGAACAAAAATCTATATTTAAAAAAAAAACACACACACATTTTTTTAATAAATCTTTAAATCTAAATTTATTATCTGTTTCAGCGTATAAGTACAGCAAGTGGAGATGGAAAACATTATTGTTATCCACATTTTACGTGTGCCGTCGACACGGAAAACATCAAGCGAGTGTTCAATGATTGTCGTGATATCATTCAGCGGATGCATCTACGTCAATACGAACTCTTGTGACTTCGTTTCCATCAACGTGTCCTCCTCCTACCTGTCCATCTTATTACTATTAACGTGCGTCGACTTGATTTGCGTTGCCAAGTAAGGTTGTAATTGCTAAAAATTCGAATTTATAATGAATTCCTATCGTTTAAAAAAAAAGAAAAAAACGGCATTCTATAATATGGGCATCGCGCGTATCAATTGCAAAGAAAAGATAACAAAAAAAATTCTCCTTTGCCACAAGTCACTAAGCAAAAAAAAAAAAAAAAATGAAAAAAAAAGTGTGCGCCGAGGATATGCATCACTTAACAAGTAACATAATTAGGAAAGTGCCATTGAGTTGACTTTTCTGAAATTTCACATATATATAAACAATTTAGTGTAAATTCTAATTTTTGTCCTTAATTTTCTAGTTCCATAATTTTTGAAATTTCAAAAAAAAATATTTCAAATAAAAAATGAAAAGTTTTTTCAGAAAAATCGGCGTGTGACACGTGGAGATAGCGTTACTTGTAAGTCGAGATTTGAGACTGGTTGTTGAGTTTAAGAAATTTAGTGGCTCCGAAGCTATATAGTAGCAGAGTCCACGATGTCCAAATCCTCTTTCTCTCTCTCTCTTTTTCTCTCTCCAATTTTATGTTTAAAGAGTATGCTGGATTTCGAAAACTTTGTATCGAATTCTTTAGTACTTCTTTTTTTTTTCTAATGTACAAACTGATGTCTTTGTAGTTTCGTTATCATCTCTCTCACTCTCTTTCTCTCTCTTTTTCTCTCTCTCTCTCTAATTAAGCGATTAGAAAATAATACATTTGTGCCAGAAATGTTCACGATAATATAATGAGGGATGAAAAAAAAAAAACAAAACAAGTGTGTTTCATAATCTGTGATGGTGTTTCATAAACGATACTGTGTGTGTTCAGCATACTCTTATTTATCATTTTTAGAAATAACTCCACAGGCGCCCCTTTCTCGAACAGTAGTACGTATCGAATATTTAGAAAATGAAAAAGAAAAGAAAAAAGAAAAAAAAATACCCCCTCATCTACCCTAGAGATCGGAATCTCGTTATTTTTGTTATGATCTGTTTTTCTTGAGAATATTTGCTTTTCAACTTTTGCCGAATCTCGAATTTTAATCGTAAAGAAAAAGAAAAAGAAAAAAAAAAAAAAAAGCAACAACCCAAATCCTGTAGGAAAAATTCAGTCGCACCTTTTTACGAGAAGAGTATTTTGTGAGATTTTACAGTATTTCGAAAAACGTTTTAATTGTACAACTTGTGTATCGACTATTATATATATATGTATATACAGGGTGACCGTCCACTGACTCATTCTTATTTACGTTCAATAAATTACTAATGTTAAAGATCAATTTTTTTATAAATTACTTTTTTTTTGGGGAAAATTTCAAGAAAATTATAATATAGAAATTAATTCTTTCTAGAAGATAATATAATTCTAATTTTTATGAAAAAATATCATTTTTGAACGTGAAAAAGAGCACAAAAATCGCTTATTGGTCACCTTGTATATGACGAGTCCCACTTTCCTAGTGTTTTTTTTTTTTTTTTTATTTTTTTTTTTTTAATCAAATCTAACGTTTCATTTCCCTGAAGAAATAAGAACATAATATTCACGTGTGCGTGAATTTATTGGCTCGCGTGTAGGAACGCGAAGGACAAATCAAAATTCAACATATTTCCTATATATTATACACCTCGATTTAAAAGTTTAAAACTCTTTTTCTCCAGTTTCCCCCCCTCCTCCCCCCATTTGCTTTTTATCATCACTTATTGAAAAAAGATTATTAAAAAAAAAAAACAGAAAAAAAATAAGAAAAATAAAAAAAGAAACCACGCACTCGATGCTCGGAAGTAACGAGTTATTTAAAAAAAAAGAACTATATGTAATATTTACATTTATATAGGTAAAAATGAGAGTTCAACGTCAAATTAAAAAAAAAAGCGAGAGTATAAAGAGCTAAAGATTAAACATAAGAAATCAATATTTAATAAAAGGCAACGCCTTTCGCGCTCCGAAATGAACACAATTTATTCGCGACATTTATATATAAATATATACATTAATACATACACACAAGAGAAGAGAAAAAAAAAAAGAAGGAAACACGTGCGCATACGTACATACATGCATTATATAAAGAAAATGATAATCTATTATTATATACAAAATGTGCGCATGTGTAGTTTTTATGTATATCTATCGTATTTAATTAATACGTACATAACAGGTGTAGTTTTAAAAAAAAAAATCACTTTATAATTGGGAATGTCTTTAAATTACAAAAAGTCACAAAAAAAAGCATTAAACTTTGTTTCAAAAATTTTATTACAAAAAATAAAAATGAAAAAAAAATTAATTTGAAAAAAAAGAATAGAAAATAAGGGAAAAAAAAGTTTTACTTTTGTTTTTTTTTTTGTTGAAACTTTTTGTAATTTATAGAACCATTTAAAAAAATCTTTCGAACTGTTATTTTTTACTAATGTGACATAATATATATGAGAGTATCAGCGAGAGAATAATAAAAGTTTGCTTGCGGGAGAAAAATTTTTTGTTTTCGACTTCCGTGAAACTTTATATATATAAATATATATTATACATATATGTATACACTATTGGTTGTAAGTTTAAATTAACATTTTTTTTTTTTTGTTAATTACGGTGAATTACATTTTACTGCTGTAAATAATAATTTCGAAACTATTAAAATTGAGGTTCAATATCAGAGAAAACTTCAAAATAAATGGGTTAAACTATTTATATTTCGAAGGAATTATGGGTTAATTTAAAAAAAAAATTGATACTTTCAAAGATGATTCTTTATGATATCTAGGAAACGAAATAAAAAAAAAAGTATAATAGAATTTTTATTATTTCTCTTGAAATATGAGTTTGAGGTGGAGGAGGTAGAGAAAATTGTCACTTTTTTCCAAATTGGAAAATATATTTTTAAAAAACAGAATAATTCTTAAAAGTGTGAAAAGAATTATTGATTTTTAATTAAGTAATTTATTATTGTTTAAGAATTAAAGTAGTAAAAATATTAGAGTAATGGATAAAATAATTTTTCAAATAAAATTTTTTCACAATATTTAATCGAACCGAAATCTACACACGTACCAAAAATTTAGTTTAATGATAATATTTAAAAAAAAAAAAATTTTTTTTTGAGATTAATGTTTGTTCAAAATTATGTTTTTTTTTATATATCATTTCTAATTGCTAAAAAAGTGAAAGTTTTCTGTACCATACTTCAAACTCATATTTTAAGAGAAATAATAAAAATATTAACATAATTTTATTTTGTTTCCTAGCTATCATACATTTTTGAAAGTATAAATTTTTTTTCAAATTAGGCCGAAATGACTTTGTTCGAAATATAATTGACAAAAATATTAAAAGAAAGTGAAATAACAATGTGAATTAATTTCAATATATTTTGAAAGAATTATATATATTAATGCAATTTTTAAAAAACAGTAATAACTGCGCCGAATAATATTTGCAATAAGGAAATAATATTTTATGTTATTTAATAATTGAAGAAGATAATATATTTTTTTTAAAAAAATTATTTTTAACAAAATAAAACGAATAGAATTGTGTCGAATTTTAAAATGAACAAAATGTGCTATTATTTATTTACTAAAAACTAATGTAATTTTTTATGATTGTTTCCGTCACAAGATTAAAAAAAATTACACAAAATATATGGAATAATTATTATTATTATGACAATAATTTTGTGTGTAACGAATTTTTATTTTTTTTAGCATTGAATTTATAGTTCTTTCAAAATATGTATATTAAAATTAATTTATATTATTGTTTTTTTCCAATGTTTTAATTCAAAGAACTGAAATAATGGATTATATAAATTTTCTTAATACAAACAATTTTTGAAAATAACTTTAATCCATAAATTGCAAAAAAAAAACATCGAGTAAATTATTTTTCGGTTTTTGCATCAAATTTTCGAAAAATTTAACATAATTTCAAAGGAAAAAAAAAGATTTTTAAAATTGATGCATTTTTAAGAAAGTTATGAAGCATTTAAAAAAATATATTTAAAAATTTAAATCTCATAAATGGATTGATAAAAAAAATTGGAAAAAAATCACTGAACCCTTTTTTGTAGAATACAAATAAATAAAAAAAAATGTTGGCCAAATATATATATATAAAAAAAAGGTTAAATTTAATTATATTATATTTGTAGCAATAAAAGACGCAGTAATTGACAAACTAATGAATTTAAGAGAGAATCAGACGAACAGTCAAAACAAAAATTTATATTCAAATTTAACATTTTTCTATTTTATAGAAAAATTTTCTATTTAATTAAAAAAATTTTTTAAGTAAAAGTATAAGAAATTTTATTTTTAACACTTTGAATTGAACAAATATTCCATTTGATTAACAATTTCTTAATTATGAGAAACGATTGTTAAATTTTAGGTTATTTTACCTATAAATCGTTTATTATCGAGAAAAGAAATTGTAATTTTTATTAAAATACAACTTTTACTCAATAATTCAATTAAAAATAAAATTTGCTATATGCAATACTTTTTAATTAGATTAATTTAATAATACAATACGATATAATAATAATAATAATAATAATAATAATAATAATAATTTTATTATTGTTATTATTATTATTAATTAATTATTACTAAATTTTATTTTGATTGTTTTTCTGATTTTTTCTTTGTTAAAATTTTGACCGTTAGTACATGTATATATGTATATATATTCGCCTTGCACAAAAACAAAAAAAAAAAAAAAAAAAAAAAACGAGTCATTTAATCACATTAAATACATTTTATCGAATATAGAAATATTCATCAATTATTGTTGTTAATTAATATTGTACGCGCGTTACTCGCTTGAAATTCGTTTTTATGGTTCCATTGTTTGTTTAATGCGAAACTACTTCCATATCTTCCCTCCCTCCCCCCCTATAAAAAGAAGGCATTAGAATCTCTTACTTAATTCTTAGGATAATAATAATCCAAAGAAAAATCTCTAAACAGTTGCAATTTTTCAAGAATGTTAAATTTTTTTAAAGAAATTTTAGATAATTTTGTTATTTTAAAGAAAAATTTTTTTTTTTACTTTTATTATCTGATTTTTAAATATTTAAGATTTATTTGTTTAAAAAAAATTCTAATTTCCTATTATAGTGTTTTTTTTAATAATATGGAAATTTTTATAAATTAAATGATTCTTATTTTATTGATTTAAAAAAAAAGAAAAAAAAAAATGAAATACATTTGTTTGTTTTTTTCCGTTAGACATATTATTGTGCATTCCATTGTTACATGAAAATGACAATTTTATATTGGAATAGTGAAAGAAAAATTATAATTTTCATTATTTTTGTCAATTTTCACGAGATATTTACTATTAAGATTGAAAGTAAAATTACGCAATTTCTTTTTTTTTAAGTGAGATTTTTATTATGGATATTTTTTTCAAACAAAAACGAATGATCAAAAAAAAATCACAAAGCAAAGAGCTTAAATAGCAGAAAATACTTAAAAAAAAAAAGAAAAAAAATACAAGGACTCGTAAATTATTAATATAACGCCGATCGCACAATATTTTCTGTAATTTTTTTTTTTTTTCTATCGAGAGAGCAATGCGTTTAAGCGCATCAGTGCACATGTATCGTATATAAAATGATTGTCGGGAGAATTTTTTAAAATGTCGATTATTATATCAATTTCTAATTCTAATTTTAGATGCTTAACATATTTGCAGGGTTTCAGGAAATTCTAGCGCCAAATCTTTCGATATATTCGAAGGCTGAGAGTGTGTATAAAACTTTTAAGAACAAAATAATAATTATATATAGGTAAAACTAGTCTTTAGGCATTGAACATTTTTATTTATTATCAAATTATTGTTTATGTATATTAAAAAAAAAAAACAATTAATTCTTTTTCATTTGTATTTTATAAAGAAAAAATTAATTTTTTTTGTATGTGCACGAGCGATATCGTTGGACTCTGCGTTCATCTATTTTTTTTTTTTACTCAATTTGATCGTATAAGAATTTTTAAATTTTGAGAAAATTCATAAATTTGGACATTACATTTTTTTGAACTGCAGATTTCATACGCATATTAATACAATTTCTTTCTATTTTATTATTGTATTTTCGTTATTGTTAATAATATATATATATATATATATATATATATTGTCTGAGGTGTATTTGCAATTTTTATTTATTGTCGTCGTTATATTCTTGCATATATATAAATTTATTATTGTCGCTCTTATCCCTGAAAATTTGTACATTTTTTAGACATTATATACCTATATACATAAATATGTATAACTCTCTCTGGGTCTTTGAAGGATTCAAAGTTATTTCATTTTTTTTTCTAAGGAAAAAAAAACAACTTTCAAAGGTCTTTAAACTCCTTGAGTGTTCAGTATATTTAGAACTAGAATTAAATAAAAGAAAAATGAATGCTTATACATTTTTTCTGTAATGATAACAAAAAAAAAAAACAAAAAAAAAAAAAATCTTTCGCAATTTTAGAATGACTTTTTGTAAATCTTTTTTTGTAAAACGAAGAAAAGAGGGTAAAAAAAAAGAGAAACAAACAAGGTAAAAAAAAAAACGTTTTTTGTTCTCTATGAAAAAATAATATTTTTTCATAGAAAAACGTTTTTTTTAATATATAATACGTAATTATTTAAATTAATTTATTACAGAAATTTTTCAAAAATCATCACACGTATATATATATATAATTTTGTCCCAGTGTTATAATAGGAGCGTGACGAGAGAATTAAAAAAAATCACACTTTTAAAGTTTTTTGTGAATTTAAAGATGTGTCTGTTCGTAGCGAGAAGTGAAAAAAAAACGTTAGTTAATGTGTATACACGTAATAAAACAAAAAACAAAAAAAAAACAAATATTAATTATTAATCACGACGACGAAGACAATTTACGAAAATACGTGATTTTTGTACGAGACTAGCCATGGCAGTCTGTTTTACTGCCGTGCTTCGAAGCACTATAGAACAGAAGTAATAAAAGAAAAAGAAAAAAAAAGAAAATAGAGAGAAAAAAGAGAAACAGACCGGAAAGAAAACCAAAAGGATAAGTTACCAGAAGTTATGTAATACGTCGCTTCCCCTCTCTCTCTTTCTCTCTCTCTCTGAACTTTATAACATCCCCCTTAATTCATTGTTGCGTGTCTCCTTGCTAATAGAAAAAAAAACCAAAAAATTAATCCATTTTTCAAAATTTCATAAAATTTATCCAGAATTCTCATTTTTTTTTTTTTTTGAAAAATTTACTTATAATTTTTCTTTAAATTTTATTTTGTTTCAAAAAAAAAAAGGTTGCAATTTATTTTTTAACATATTTTAAATATTTTCTTATCAAAGAAAATCCCAAAAATAAGGATAAATTTTATGAGAATTTTTTTTTTTTGAGAAAAAGTAGATTCAAATTTAAAATAGTAATTTACTTGAAAATTGAGAAAAACAAAAAAAAACTGATCTTTATTTACATAAGTGGTTAAAATAAATATACGATATAAAAGTGCAATATTATTTATCGAAATTCTCTATAAAGCAAGCAGTAGACGCAAAATGTGGATGAGAGTGGAAATCGAGAAACTTTTTAGAAATCAAATCTATCTTTGAATCTGTTTCATGATTTTCGGTTTAAAAAAAAAAAAAAAAAAAAAAAAAAATTCCCCGTTTTTAACGGTGTCTATAACCACGCAAATAAAAAATACATCTCTGGTGTTCCAGCCTCGAGAGAAAAAGAAAATTGATTCCGAAGTGATTTTTATATATTATATATATATATATATATATATATACTGAAAAAGCTAAGATTGAAAGTATTTAATTATTTTTCTATTATTACGATATTTTTCGTAAATAGTTGTTAAAAAAAAATTTTCATAAAAAAATAATAGTGATTTTCAAATCACAAACATAATATAAAATGCAGTAAATTAATAGCGAGGTAATAATGAAATAATAAGTTAATTATTTTATTCAAAAAGTAAATTAATTAACCTTTTAAAGAAAGAAAATTAAATTTATTAATATATTAATGAGAAATTATTTCAAAAAGAAATTTTTCTCAAAAAAAAAGAAAAAAATACGATTGGAGGAATTTTGTACAAAATTAAAAAAAAAAAAAAATATTTATATGAGACTGGAACACTGATATCTATTAATATTTAATACGCGTAAAACGTGATAATTAAATTGATGGATAGGAAAAAATAATTTTTTTTTTCAAATTGGTGCCATGTTTCGCAAATCATGGATCAGATTCTAATAAATATATTAAAGAAGAAAAAGAATTATTATATATAAAGAAATAAAGAAGAATATATAAATAAATATAAATAAAAAATAATAAATATATATATCATATATATAGAAATATATATTATATATATATTATACGTGTATAAATTCACTGAATCAATTGCGAGCGATTATGGTTTGAATGATATATTCTTCGTATGTGAGAAAGAATGAATATTTGAAAATGTATGCGTGATTGTGTTATACTAGAATTAATAATAATAATAATAATAATAATAATAATAATAAAAAAGAAGGAAGGTAAAAAATATATTTCATTCTCATTCTGTGATGACTGTCTGAATATTATAAAATGTTTACATGAATCTAAGCTAACGGTTAAAGGATTAATTGAAATAAAAACTAGAGAGTAAAAGATTTATTTAATGGTCGTTGTATCAATTGCGCAAAAAGAAAATGGAACCCTTATATATAAATATATATTATATTTAAGACACATGACACAAACATAAAGAAAAAAAAAAACAAATATATTATACATACGAATATATTCGAGACACAGAATATGATATAATTAAAACAAAAAAAGTCCCCCCTTAATATCTGAGTAAAGAAATTATTTGATTTATATATATAAAAAAAAAAAAAAATCCACTCTATAAGTTAGTTGTTTAATATTGCTTTTCAGAGTATATATTAAGAGTTATGTGTATAAATTAATGTGTGTAATTAAAAAAAAAAAAAGAAAAAAAAATATGAAGTCATTTAGTAAATTATAAGCATCTAATATATATTATATATATATTATATATATATAAAAAAAAAAATTATGTAAGAAAAAAAAACACACCGTCACACAGATACACCCATATGCGCGCGCGCGTACATATAAATACATTATATATTACGATTACGAGAATTACAAAAGAAAAAAAAAAAAAAAAGCAAACGCTGCGAAGCCACTTGTATCATACGTTTGTGTAACTAAAAATAGTAACGATACGATTATATGAAATTATAACGATACAATAAATACTTATTGTATGTCTTATATAAATCGAAAATGCTTCTCTGGCTTTAATTTATTTTTATACCCTTGTCTTTTTTTTTCGAGAATCTGTGTATTCACATCTTGCACAGTGATTTGTAAAAAAAATTTTTTTTTTTATTTTACTCAAATAAAAATTAGTTACTTGATTGTATTTGGAAAACTGGGTGGTCACTATAACTGAGAGAATCGAAAATTTAGAGCACATTTAAAAAATAAAATTTATTATGTGATTTCACATGTAAATATTCTTCGCAGGTTTTTTTTGCAAAATATTTAATAGAGTGAGCTAAAATTTTGTAGAAAGCTCAAAAATAGTATAAAGATTTGTTGTTATGTATAGTAAAATTTATTAATATTTTGTCAAAAAATTTATTTTTAAAAAATTGCATGTTTGAGGGAAATTCAGTACAATTTTGATCATTTCCCAATATATGTAATTTGTTAAAAATAATTTTTTTGATAAAATATTAATATAATATGGCACATGATAACGAATTTTTATACTATTTTTGAGTTCTCTACAAAATTTTAGCTCAATCTATTAAGTATTATTGCGAAAAAACCCGTGAAGAATATTTACATGTGAAATAACAACAATCACATAACCTTAAAAGTACTCTAAACATAAAATGCAGCTAATTCTTTTAAAACGAGACGCATGCACACCCCTCCTCAAGCGCCGTCAAATTATACAAAAATGGATCCAACTTCGGACAACGAAAACTTGTAGGATTGGGCTTATATTTTCCAAATTTTCAAACCTTGAAATTGCCCCATCTCCTATATTCAAATAAAACGAATTTTTGTAATTGTCCCAAAACAAAATCTTGAAAAAACCGATTTTTTACGTTTGGACGCAAAAAATGTTAGCAAATATCTATTATTTGCAAACTTTTCTAGTTTATAAACGCTGTACAAGTTTCTACTTAACTGTCAGTTATAAAAAAGAAAAAACAATTAAGAAGAAATATTTTTTTACTGTATTATGAATTTCGAGTGAAAAATTAGTATTAGCATGAAAATAGAAAACATGATAGAAAACTTTGTTTACAAATGAAAAATCAATTATTTAAAAATGTTTTTTTTAAATTTATAATATCTTTTCACAAACATTTAATTTTACAAATTCAACAAAAGTAAATATAAGCCCAATTCTACAAGTTTTCGTTGTCCGAAGTTGAATTCATTTTTGTATAACTTTACGGCGCTTGAGGAGGGGTGTGCATGAATAAGATATAAAATTAATTTGTTAGAATTTTCATTTGACTGAAATTCGTTGAGAATTTATTTTCAGACGAATTTTTATGCCAGGTGCAACTCATCAAATGTAAACAAACATGAAAATGTACGTTGCGGTTCGTTTGCAATTACAACTTACAAAACCTTGTTTGCTACCAGATGACGGAACGAAGAGTTAAAGAACTTGAAGGAACATCTTTTACATCTATAAAACTATTATCTGCCAGTACAAACTCATTTCGTGCATAAAGACATAATAACCTTCTGTCGTTTAATAAACTAAACGATAACTGATTCGCAGTTTGTTTACATTACATTACGCTATAATGTAATTAATCAAACTATTATATAATTATTTGATATTATTTTGGAAGTATGTTTAATTTCCAAACTTAATGAGAAAATACGTTGCCTATTACAAATTTAAATTATAATTTAATTTCTTTATATTGATATAAATTTAATTTTTTAATGAACTGATTATTAATGTTATTAAAATATGAATGATATAGATGTTATGATTTTTATTTTAAAGTGTGCTAAAAATTATTTATTTTATAAATTTACTTATAAATATTTATTTATAATGTATTTATTAATATTTATTTATAATTTACTTACAATAAATTATTATTTTTAATTATTAATATTTTACATATCTCTTAAGTGTTTAAATTCAAACAACCATCCGCAACGTAAAACGAATTCGCTTTTTGACCGTTTTGACTTTGCCACAACGCGTTGTGGTCGCTTTTTTCGCTCAATGACCGTTTTCGGATTTGGAGCCTAACATATATACTGAAACAACAATTTTCTCAAGGTTACGAAAAAAAAACATTTTTGAGTATATCTGAGGCACGGACGAAGTAGACTTGAATGGGAGAAATATTGTGGGAAGGGGTAAAAGACCTAGTCTATGTCATCTGGTGGGGGTATAATTTCAGAATTTTACCCTTTCCAAGATGTGACCGTCCAATCGCTCAACTCTTTCTCCCACCTAGGTTTACAACGTCCGTGCGTCAGATATACTCAAATAGGGTTATATATTTTTTCGTAACCTTGAGAAAATTGTTGTTTCAGTGTAATTTTCATTTTATTATAATTATTAACATTATTCATATTATTAGTCAAATACAGTGTCAGGCTGTATTTTTATATATGAATTTTCCGTTTCCACATATAGAGAAAGAACAATTTTTAATTTCTATTTAAAAAAAGGCTGTCGCAAATTTATCAATAATTACGTACATTTTCATGTTTGTTTACATTTGACGAGTTCCACCTGGCCTTAAACGAATTTCTACATTACAGAATTGATACTGAAACGAATTAAAATTTTTTTATTTCTTCAAATTTAAATTTTACTAAATTATTAATTACTCGAATTTTCATTAGACAGAAGTCATTTGAAAGAATTTTTATTTTATAGAAAAAATATTAGAATAATTGAAAATCCCAAAGAATTTAATATAAGTTGAAATTCTTGTCTTCATCTATTTAAAAGACATATAACCTAGGTACATATACATATACCGTGAGTGAAATTTTTTTATAAATATTTGAATAAAAAAAATAATTTCGAAGTATCGAAGCAATTTTGGATCTTTATACCTGAATTTCGAGCTGTATGTTTACATTGAAGTACAAAAGGTCATTTTAGTCCGAGCTTTATAGTCAAAAGTCATAAACAATGTATGGAAAATCCCAAAGATAATAAATTTCAATCAGTTGCAATTCGTGTATTGACCTGTTTAGACGTGATCAACTCGAGTGTCAAGAACCCCGCACAAAATGTACAGAAAATAGATCCCTGTCGATTTTTATTAAACTTTGGGAAATTGTTGCTTTTGTAGTACCAAAGAAAAAAGTCTTATGATAAAATCCAAAAAAATGGACAGATTTTTTGTTAATTAATGTTTAAGTTGACAATTCACAGTGTAAAAGTCGGTGATGCTTACAAGTGAACAAAACGAAAATAATTAAATTAAAATGCTTGATACTTGTTGCACGGGAGTTTTCGGAGTCGCTGATAACAAATGTACAGTCAGATTTCAAAAATTCAAAATGGCAGTATCAAGCATTTTAATTTAATTATTTTCATTTTGTTCACTTGTAAGCATCACCGACTTTTACACTGTGAATTGTCAACTTAAACATTAATTAACAAAAAATCTGTCCATTTTTTTGGATTTTATCATAAGACTTTTTTCTTTGGTACTACAAAAGCAACAATTTCCCAAAGTTTAATCAAAATCGACAGGGATCTATTTTCTGTACATTTTGTGCGGGGTTCTTTGTAAATTTAAAAGCAAAATTTGGTTATATTAATTTTCTTTTACTTGATATTTTCCCAAAAAAAGTATCAGGTGACAATTTCTTTTATTTGATATTTTCACATTATTAAACTAGCTTCGGTAGTGTTCGAATTTTTTAATTCGCGAACGAAAACGTATTGAAGTGGGTTATGGCGCACTCACACCTTTTTTGGCTGCCTGCCTGCCTGCAAGTTACCATGGCAACGCACGAGTGTGAGTGAGACAGAAAATTTGAATATTCAAATTTTTAAATTTTCTGTCGCACTCACTCTCATGCGTTGCCATGGTAACCTGCAGGCAGCCAAAAAGGTGTGAGAGCGCCTTTAAACTTTTTTTTCTGTCATTTTAGTACATTTTTTGTTCCGCGAGTGTTTGAAATTCTTAAAATCGTGATCGCTTAAATCTTTAGAAAGAGTATTTTGTTTATTTTCAGTTAATTTAAACGTGGTTTCAGAAGTGTTCGAAATTTTTTAAATCGCATGTATTTCAAGCAGAAATATCTTCTTGTCTGAAATATTTGATACATCGATTGCAGTCTAAGGTTAGTTTTTTAGTTTTTATTTCAATAATTACATGCAATTGTTTTTCTTCTGAAAAATTAAAAAATATTAACTTCAAAAAAAATTTTTTTACGATATGTGAGGAACAAATGTCTCACTAGAAGTTTTTTCAACGAAAAAGTTCCCCACAGACTTTTTGTCGGCGAAGATAGGAAAACGAGAGTACAGGTAAGTTATTATTTAAATTAATAAATAATTAAATAATTTACGGTTTTTAACTTTTTCATCATGCTATCGTCTTCTCTAGACCTAAATGCGTGGGTATACCAAAGTTGAAGTAAATTCATTAATATTTGTCGGAACTGGAACGATTTGTGTTTAAAAATTCAATAAAATTTGTTGATTGAAAATATTTAGTTTTTTGCAATTATTGTCAAAACTATTCATTCTACAAAAAAAAGTTACAGGAAAAAAAGATGCGCCGTTTTATTTTCTACAACGTAGTATATTTCCGAAATCAAAATTTTGAATTTTAATTTTTTCGACTTTTTCATTCGTTGACTGGCTTCAGCGCGGCCGGTCCGAGCGTCCGTCTGGTTATTGTATTGGTGTCCTCAAATGTTCTTTTGTATATAATTTAGAAAAAAAAATGATACCCAAAGTTTTAATTAAAATTAATTCAGATTTTTAAGAGTTCGATTCGAGAATCACAAAAGTTAAAAGTTTCGTGGATTTGCCCATATTTAAAACCTTATTAAACGAATGTTTATTAAAGAGAATTTATAGGTCATTGAATTATTATTTTACAGAATCTTATTTTACATTATTTCTCTTTCAAAGAATTTTTATTTGACGAATTGTTATTTGTTAGAAATTTAAAGACGTAAAATTTTCATTTGACTGAAATTGATATAATATCCAAACAACCGACAAAAAGAATTTGTGCGAATTTTAAAATTGACCAAACCAAGGATTCTTATTTTATAAATTTCCTAAATCTAAAAAATTGTCCGAATTCATGCAAAAACGCGATTTCAAAGTTGGAAATAGTAAAGTAATTTAATGACAGTTATGACTTTGTGCTCCCTGCATGTTTCTGCCATCTGACGGCGACTGCACGTAATGAACCTCTTACAAACTGTCATTATATTACTTTCTTATTTCCTATTTTGCAATCGCGTTTTTGCATGAATTCGGACAATCTTTTAGATTTAGGAAATTTATAAAATAAGAATCCATGGTACGTTGGCCAATTAGAATTCTTTTAAATAAACAGTTAAGTAAAGGGAAATTATATAAAATGAATTTGAAATGGAAATTCTTATCAATTTAATTTATGGGATATTTATGCGCCCCATTTCAACAAGAAAATCGAACACCAAAGTTAAATAAAATAAAACATAAAAAAAAGAATGATTTGGAAAAACGTATCCTAAAAATAATAACAATTTAATAGATTACCAAATTTATATTTATTAAATATAAAAAAAGTAAGAATAATGTTACACATTTTAAAATGTTTTGTATGTATTTTTTAAAAAAGACGTAATTTAGAAAATATGGTTTCAATTTTATAAATTCGTGAAAAAAAAACAATACATTTTCAATAAAAGTTATTCATTTATATTGATAAATTCATGTGCCACTTTAAAAATGCAAGTTGAGCCTTTGACTCTAAAGATGCTAATTCATTAACGGTTGGTGCCATTTGTTGTACATGATTTTTATAGTCAGATCCAAGATTCAATCTTTTCTGACCATAAGTGACTTTTCCATCAAAATCATTCATTGGCACTTTCATGTCTGGCTCGACTTGTTGAATTGTTATGTTTAAATGATCTTCAATATCCGCTAAATACTGTAAAATTTAACATTAATAAACATTAAGATAACAAGAATGTAATAAGAAAAATTTCCTAAACAATTTGTTTGCTATTCATTATGTGCTATTATTTTATTACATTATTATTATATTATTTATTATTATTATATATTATTATTATATATTTATTATTATATATTTATTATTATTATTATTTTATTATTATTATAGTTTGCAACTCCATGAAGTTGGCTTCGACGCTAAGCGCCGAAAATTGTTTTTCACAGGACTAAAAATATCAAATTATTTTTTTTTAAGTTTTTCAATACAAATAATGCCTTGAAAAATAATTCTCAAGGTATTATGTGGATCCAAAACTTTTTTAAAAAATGATTTCATACTTTTGGTCCCGTGAAAAATAATTTTCTACCCCAACTTCGTGAAGGTTATTTTGCTACTATTAAATAGAAAAAATATATTAAATTTCAATATAATTATTATGCTTGGACTTTTATTAAAATTTCATTTAAACTTTTGGTCCCAAAAAACAATAAATTATTATAAATATAGTAATACATACTCTTGGTTCCTGATACCAAATACAGCATCCACCTTGATCAGTTAAACTAGTATTATTGCAATTTCTTCCTCGTGTGGAGCACCATTCTCCGTGATACCAAACTTTTTCGGGTACAGAACTAACGAGAGAAATTGCTAAACCCATTCTTTCAGCTCTTCCTACTCTTCCAATACGATGCACGTAATTCGATTTTTCATCAGGGAGGGTTACATTAATCACTGAAAAATAATTATTTCTATTTTATTAAAAATAAATTACTTTGTAATAAAAAGTAATCACTTTTTAGAGAAAGTTGAGGATTTTTTTTTTTTATTGTTGAACATTTGTAGAAAATAAAAAATGACTTAAACTTACTAAAAGGTAAGCCTGTAATATCTAAACCTCTTGCCGCAACATCAGTGCATATTAAATATTTGACTTCTTGTCTTTTAAATTTTTCCAAATTTGCTTTTCTTTCGTTTGGTTTTCTATCACCGTGCAAACAAACGCAACTGAGTTCTCTATTTCCCACTGCTCTGAAATAGCGTTCTAAATTATCGCAATCAATTTTTGTTCGACAAAAAATCAAAGCTCTGTCCATTTTATGTTCTCTAATCGCTCGAACGCAATATTCGCCTTTTAATATTTTTACAGCTTCCGACAGTGTTTCTGTGAAAAAAGAAAAAAAATCAAAAAATGTACAATACTATATTTTTTACATCTAGTATGTTACAAGCCAATTTTTAATTTGTAAAATATTTATTTCGAGATATTAAAATTTAACATCTAGCTGTAATTGTAGTGTGGAATTTTGGCAACAAAGTAACTGTAATGTTATTAATAAATTAGGTTTTAGAAATAAGAAAAAAAATTGAATCGTGAATTTTGAAAAGGGCTCAATTCGAAAAAGTGTAAATGTCATTTTCACATAACAATCGATAGTGAAAATGATTCTTAATTTTTTTTAGAGTTGATCTCTTTTCGAAATTTACGATTCAATTTATAAAGACGAAAAAATTCTGTTAGGAATTGAATAGCAGGATGAACAAAAAAATAAAATTTTAATTTTTGTTCATTATAGAAATCACGAAGCTGAAGTACGCAACGTTTATGATAAACGATTTTTAAAGAAATAATTTTTTAAAATGAAAAATTGTAAAATGTTTTGCCTAAAAAATATTTTTTTATAATTTGTTAATTAATGAAAACTACAAGAAATATTTTTTAAGCGAAAAATTATAGAATTTTTCATTTTAAAAAATTAATTCTTTAAAATCGTTTATCATAAACGTTGCGTACTTCAGCTTCGTATAGAAATCTTAAAAAAATTAATATATTAAATTTCTATCTTCTTTTACAATATTGACTATTTTTCATCGGCAATTTTTTTTCTACGTTTTTTTTTTTTTAATGATACTTAAGAATCTCTCGCATGGATTTTCAAAAATTTTAATTTAAAAAAAAGAAAAATATGAGTTTGAAACATCATTGTACTCTTCTATTAAATATGTATCTTTTTTCACAATTTTAAGTATTTTTCATCGTCAAATTTTTTCTACACTTTTGTTTTAATGATTCTTCAGACTTTCTCGTATGGATTTTCAAAAATTTTAATTTTTTCAAAAAAATAAAAATTCTAAAATGGTAAAAAATTAAAATTTTCTTTTTTTTATCACCTTATATGTTTTAGGACCCAAATGAGGCAAGAAAAAAAATATAACCTCGTTTAATAATTTAAATTTAAGTGGGTCAAAATTGGGAGTGGTGCCTCCCCTTAATTTTACATTTTCATAAGTTAATTTAAAAAAACTGTTTGATTTAAAATATCTTTAAAGAACAATTATGGGCCTTATTAAAAAAAATTCAGTAATTATGATAAAATTCCTATATTAATAATAATAATAATAATAATAATAATAATAATAATTTTTCAGCAATTTTTTAAAAATGATTTAGGTACAGAATATGTCTTTAAAAGTTTTAATACAGTTTAAATCGATGAAAAAAAATTTTCTTTATATTTTATGAACAAAACACAAACTTAGGGAAAAACTGTCCAAAAGAATTGAATAATAATCTTAAATATTTAAAATAATAATTTTAAATTCTGAATAACTGCATTTAGATTTATAATAATTATTGTTTTGGTTTTTATCTTTATACATTGAAATAATCTTACCGATCGTATTACTTCCAGGTCTAACATTATCTCTTATGTGAACATTGTCAGTTTGTATGTGTTGTCTTAAATTCTCCCATGATTTATCCTTTTGAGGATCGACCATGACAACCACATGATGTACTGTTTCGGGTACCGCGTCTTCGCCCTTTAAATCTACCCAAGTTGGAAAATGCATTAAACGTTCCTGAAAATTGAAAAGAAATAAAATTAAATAAATTTAAAAGAAATAGAAAATACAATATTTCTTCAGGCTTAGACCATTATATATTTCGACCAAAGTCGTTGTGATATAATTTAAAAAAAAATAGAAACTTTCAGAAATTATTTTTGTATTATATCTAGAGAAAGGAAATAAAAAGTATGTTAACATTTTTCTTATTTATCTTGAAATATGAATTTGAAGTAGAGAAGATACATAAAACTGTCACTTTTTTACAACAATAGAAAATATATTAAAAAAACATAGAATTGTTCTTAAAAGTGTGAAAAGAATTATTAATTCTTGTTTAAAATTAATAAAAAAATATATAAATTAATAAAAAAAAAAACAAACAGATTAATTAATTTTAAACGAGAATTAATAATTCTTTTTACACTTTTAAGAATTGTTGTATGGTTTTTTTTTTATTTTTTAATTGTTATTATTGTTCGAAATATAAAGGCCTGATCCTTTATTTTTAATGAAGATTTAAGAAAAAAAAAAAATTACCGCCATTTTCTTCACGTCAAAATCGTGAAGAGTTGCTGAGCAGACAATCATTTGCAAACGTTTACCATCGCTAGTAATTTTTGGAATTTGTTTATGCAAACGATCAATCATATCTTTGTATCCCTGTTTTAAAAGACCGTCGGCTTCATCAAGAACAAAAAATCTATTTTTTGAAAAATAAACAAGTTATAATAATTACATAAAAGCATAGGACTTTTTGAAACATAATTATTTCATAAATTAAACACTATATAAAAAATTTTACACGGAATAAAGTAACTTTCATTACTTACAAAGTAAACCTCTAAACTGTCCGGAACTTGTGCGCAATTCTTGCAATTTTTTTTCTCCGTAAATATAAAAAAATTACTCCTGAAATAGTAAAGTTTACTCTGGAAATTGTATTTTTTTGTTAACTATTTCCGCGGAGCAAAAATTGAATGAAATGCGCAAAAATTTCTGTCAGTTTAGAATTTACTTTGGAAGTAGTAAAAATTACTTTTTTCATTTTTCTCAGTGTAAGAATGAAGACTTAGGTTTTTATACAAATTATTAACATAAAGCAGTGGACTGTAATTTTTTTTTTTATTATACAGTATATAATGGAAAACTCTACCTGCAGTGAGTGAGAGATAAATATCCTCCTTGAATTAAATCCTCTAACCGACCAGGAGTACCGACGACAATATCGACGCCTGAATTTAAAACTGCAATTTGTTCCTTGATATTTACACCGCCAATGACTAAGAGTTCACGAACAATTGGATCTTTTATGTGACCTTTAAACTGTAAAATTTTATTATATTAAAGTTATTTTTTTTCCGCATAATTATTTTTAAACAAAAATTTATTTTTCGAATTAGCATTTAACAGAATTTATTTTTAAACGAATTTTTACTTAATAAAATTTTTACCGAACTTTTATTTGGCAGAATTTTTATTTCACATAGAATTTCTGTTTATCAAACTTTTTTTTTATTTAAAAGAATTTGGGTTTCGAAGAATTCTAAATTAGCCGAATTTAGAAAAGAATTATAATTAAATAATAAATAATAATAATAATAATGAATAATTTTAATTTAGCATAATTTTCATTCAACGGAATTTTAAGTGATTCGAATTTTTAAATGTTAAAATTTTTAATTCACCGAATTTTCATTTGTTTGAATTTTTTTTTCTCAAAAACCACTATGGCGATCCCAAGATGAAACTTGCAGGATGATTGTATAAAGCACATTTGCCACAACATTTGGTAAAATTTTGAAAAAAGTAAAGATTGATTTTCAAAATTGGTATTTTAATCTTTCAAATGTTCATAAAAAATTTATTTTTTACTTCTTAATTTTTTTTTATTAATTACTTTTTTAAAAAAAGTGCAAAAATTTTCAAAATAGCGTATGTTTGTTAATTTTCAAAATTTTGCAGAAATATTTGGTGGAGTTATTTTACTAAAGTAATAAATTCCCAGTCAGTCATGATAAACTGATGTGGAATCCACCTTTATCGAATTTGAATTAATAATTAACAAAATTGGCACTTTCATAATGTTGAAAATTACAAATATTATAATTAAATCAGTGAAATGATATTTTTAAAAAATTATAAATTCAAACTATTTGAAATGTGTTGAATCGATTTTGAATTTAATTATCCTTATACCTGCATCCCAAGCTGTATGTTTACATTGAAGTACAATGGGTCAATTTAGTCGAAGGTCATAAACAATATATTGAAAATCCCAAAGATAATAAAATTCAATCAGTTGCAATTCGTTTATTGACCTGTTTAGAAGTGCTCAAATCGAGTGTCATTTTTGTAAATTTAAAAGCAAAATTTGATTATGTTAATTTTCTTTTACTTGATATTTTCACATAATTAAAAATAGTTTCGGGAGTGTTCAAATTTTTTAATTCGCGAAGTTTTGCAGTGTTAAATTTTTTTTTGTCATTTTAGTACATTTTTTGTTCCGCGAGTGTTCGAAATTTTTAAAATCGCAATCGTTTAAATTTTTAGTCAAAGAATTTTTTTTTTCAATTTAAACATGGTTTTGGAAGTGTTTGAAATTTTTTAAATCGCATGCGGTTCCAGCAGAAATATTTCATCGTCTGAAATATATGATGCATCGATTGCAAGTTAAGGTTGGTTTTTTTTTTAATAATTACATGCAATTGTTAATTTAAATTATTTAACAACGCTCTCAATTTCAAATTAATCTCATTTTTGAAATTTTGTGTAATCATTTTAATCAACCTCTTCTTATTGAGCATCTATGATGTCTGTAATAATTATAAAACGTGTCTGCGAGCGAGAAATTTTATCGTTAATAATTAATTAACATATTTTTAATAACAAAAAAAAAAAGAATTTTACCTTTTGAATTTGATTGTACGTTTGTTCAGCCAATTCACGAGAAGGTTCAATGACAATAGCTTGCGGGGCATTATTCATGGGTTTCGAATCATCCCCTTTACTGCCTGATGTATTATTCGGATTAGTTTTAATATTATCTTTTGGCGCTGATGACAATGCAACAAAACCATTTGGCGGTGAATGTCTAAAGGGTTGAGCACCAAAATTAAAAGACATTTCAGCATTTTTCAATACCACCGCCGGAAAGAATGTCATTGATTTTTGTTGTGAATTTAATGTGAAAGCTGGTCCCAAATCAACACCATTTTTCATAAATCGAATTTCTCCTTTTTGTAAATCTAAAAGACATCCAATAACATCATGCATTCCAAATGATTCTCCATAATTATCAAATTGTCGGGCATTTGATTTTTTGCCAGTTCCACCAAAACCGAAACCAAATTTATCAGTTCCTAAATCCAAGGCTGCCTAAAATTTGAAAAATAATTTCTCTTTTTTTTTTTTTTAAAAAAAAAGGTGATTAGTTTTTAATTATTAAATTAAATACCTGGGCAGTAGACCATCCGACACGACAGAGGCCTTCATCAGTGACAATAGCTTCAAAAAAAAATTTTCCATTTCCTTGAACGCCTTTATTGGCACGACAACCGTGCCAATCGCGTGGTTCACGACTTTGACAAAGTAATCCATCGGGAGCTACGGCTAATGCTGATCCACGATCAAACATACTGAGAAGCCAGTTGGGAGCTTGATAATTTTAATTAAAAGGACAAAAAAAGTATTTATTATTAAATTCAATTTGATTATTAAAAATTTATCTCAAGGTTTTAAGGGGAGGGAGCGCTGAAATTTCAATCTTTCGAAATTTAGGCTGTTTAAGGTTGTCAATTTTTTTTTTTCTGTTAATATTGAATATTTAAAACTGTAATATACTACAGGATATTGAAAAACAATTGATTTATTAATAATTTTTTAAATAAATCTCGAAATCTTCAAAAAATAAAAATTTAAACTTCTGTTGCAATTTTTATTATTTTTCATTGCTGATCTTTTTTTATACACTTTTTTCATGATTCTGAACAATCAATCGTATGGATTTTGAAAAAACTCAATTTTTTCAAAAAATAAAATTTCTGAAAAAAAATAATTGTTAAATTGTTAAAAATTACTTTTTCAAGGTTCTAAAAATTTTTTTTAAAAAATTGTTATCCTTAAACCAAACCAATTACGTTTGGTTGAAATTTTATCAAGTATTCTTTAAAAATTCAACTTCTTCTATAATTTTTATTATTTTTCATCGGTAATTTTTTTGTAGGCTTTTTTCATGATTCTGAACAATCAATCGTATGGATTTTTAAAGATTTTAATATTTTGAAAAAATAAAATTTCTAAAATGGTTAAAAAATTTTTTTTATAATTTTGATAATTCACAATAATTTTAGATCCAAAATAATGCAAAAAAAAAAAAAAAATTGACACCCCTTGAGGAGGTTATAGGGATTGACTGAATAAATCAAAACAGAAACCATTATTTTATGATTTGACTTTCTCGGTACTGTGAAACGTCTGGCAACACCACATTACGTCAGTCGAGTTGCAAATGGTTGCTTTATGACTTGTTTACTTTAATAAAACAATTATCCCTCTATTTAATTAACTTTAATTTAATTTTAAAAATGTATAATCAATTTTATTTATTAACTTTTATTTTCTTTTTAAATATAACGTATTTTATACGTGCTATCAGAATCAACATTTTAAAATTTAGCGCGCAAAATTAACGTATAATAAGGTTATTCAAGTTGGGTGGGGGAAAGCCAAGATGGTTGCTTGCTGGTGCACCTATCAGCCTATCAGCATTCATTCCCGAGAGAAATTTCTCGTGGGAATGAATGCTGATAGGCTGATAGGTGCACCAGCAAGCAACCATCTTGGATTTCCCCCACCCAACTTGAATAACCTTATATGCATGATCAAGTGTGCAACGTTGCCAGACGTTCTGACAGCTGTTCAATTTAACGTATAAAACGTGAAATATTGTTACAAATTAATTTATTGCAACTCTCACAAGAACCTAATGACCCTTTTTTAAACGGATATTTAATCATTATATATCTGTTTTGTATTAAAAAAAGTTTCATCAATTTCTTAATATCAGGTAATTTGTGGTGAACAAATATGTATGAGAAAGTACTCAATTCCCATAAGACTCAATGTTAAATGTTAAAAAACAAAAACACTCATAACTTTTTTCACAAGTACCTAGAGGTCTCAAAAATTTAACAACATTTTTTTGAAACCTTTATCTAGTAGTGGACCAAGTTTCATTAAATTGGTAATATCAGATCTATTATCCCTATAACCTCCTTAACAACATTAAATTCAATGAGTTGAAATTTCACCGGGTCCCTACCCTTCAATATTATAATTTCTAATATCATGTTTCCTGAGATAATTATGAGGCATTTCATATGAGAATACGGGGTCATGTCTCAGATTTTTCTCAAAATTCGGTAAATTGTAGTGATAGTGGTGCTAAATAAGTGTACAAATTTTGAATTTGGAATTTTTAATATTATTCGAGATATTTACAATAACAAATTTGTGCAATATTTTTTTAGTTTACTTATAACTTTTTTCCTGCTAAAAATAGAGAAAAATGTTGCAAATGTTTTTTACGCAGAAGACCTTAAATTTTTAGAAAAAAAATTATTAATTTTTAAACATTTTGTTTAAAAAAAAAATTTGTTTATAACTATTAAACATGTTCTCCCTCATTTAGAAGCGCGAAAAAAATCATGAATATTGTTTAAGTCATAATAAATCGATGGTTAAATTTTTGAGATGGCATTATTTTTTGTTTTCGAGATATTAATTAATTAACTAACAAAAGTTAATAAAAAATGAAATATTTTACGAACAAAAAAAATTAGAGTAATTTTAAAAACACCATTAGAATGCTTATCAAAATACGCATCCAACGAGCCATATATGAACTATTTCTGATAAACGAGTGTGAAATTAATAATTAATAATAAAAATTATTTAAATAATTAATAAGATTTGATGAAATTAATATAAATCGTCAATTCTTTTTTTATTTGGAAGATCATCTAATTATGTATTAAATAAAACCAGTGTAAATAACATTTTTAACAAATTTAAATTATTAACAGATGATTATTAAAAATCGATGTTAATGCACCCCACGACACAAGTTAGAGGAAACTGTCTACCTACTCGGCATGGTATTTTTTAGTCTTTTTCTAAATAACATTTTGTAATGAATTTTTGATTCTTGGTAATACTTAATATTCACAATTTTTTTCGCGCTTTTAAATGAAGGTGAACATGTTTAAAAGTTATAAACAAATTTTATTTTTTAAACAAATTGTTTAAAAATTAATAATTTTTTTAAAAACTAATTTTTTTCTAAAAATTTAAGGTCTTTTGCGTAAAAAACATTTGCAACATTTTTCTCTATTTTTAGCAGGAAAAAAGTTATAAGTAAACTAAAAAAATATTGCACAAATTTGTTATTGTAAATGTCTCGAAAAATATTCAAAATTTCAAATTCAAAATTTGTACACATATTTAGCACCACTATCACTACAATTTACCGAATTTTGAGACATGACCCCGTTTTCTCATATGAAATTCCTCATATATATGCCACTAAATTATGTCAAAATTTTGTTAAATTACAAGATTGAGCTTCTGAAGATTTGGTCCCCTTTCCTGATTCTAAATCCTTTAGAGTCTCCCAGACAATTTGAATGATTGGAAGGCAAAATGCACCAGTTTTGCCACTTCCTGTTTCTGCAGCCATTAGAACATCTCCACCTCCCAAAATTAAAGGTATTGCTTCTGCTTGTACATCAGTTGGTAGCCTTGATTTATGTTAAAAATTATATTTATTAATAATTACATGTACTATTATAAATATATTAATAATTTTATTATTATTAGTATGTATATAGTTGAAAATTTTAAGTATAAAAAAACATATCTTTTTTTTTTTTAACATTTTCAAACTTTTTTTTTGGTGGGTACAGATTTTTGATAAAACAGAAAACCTTTAAAATTCGTGAGCCAAAAGTTTTGAACGTTCAAATAAACGAAATTTTTTTTAATTACGAATTTTATTACAAAATATTTTTTTAAATATCTAAAAAAAAATTATCGATTTAATAATTGTTTAATTTACTGATTTATTTTACATTGTCATCATAATTTTTAATAATTTATAGATTGAAAAAAATATTTCGTTCATTTGAACGTTCAGAACTTTTGGCTTATTCAAATTCATGATTTTGGCTCACTGGAATTTTAAAAAACAAAAATGTAGTTTTGATCGATATAAAATTTGCTACAAAGTGAACTATAACACATATAATTCTTATATTATAATAATAATAATTATATACTTACATCCAATCCATTTCTTCGACAGCTTTGCCTAATTCGGGCAAAACTCCCATTTCTTAAAGAAAGAATGCTATTATTAATATAAAATAAAATAAACTACATATTTATAATTTATTGATAATACAAAGTCAAGAAAGTTATTTTTAAAAGTGTTTTTCGAATTTCTAAAGACAAGTTACTAAAAACTCAAAATTAATTCAAAATTAACAAAAAAAAAAAACAATTTTTCAAAGAAATATTTTCCTTTTTTTAATAAAACTAAATTACTGTTACCTTTAGAAATTTTGAAAGAAAAAATTGAAATTTTTCTAACGTCGATGAAGTTCACGACGTTTATGATCAACGATGTAGAAGAAAAAATTTTTCTTATGCAAATTATTAGAATTTTTTATCTAAAAATTTTTAGCAACCTTTCTCAATCAACATTTTTTAGAAGAAAAATTTTAGAGCAAAAAATTAATTATTATTTTTTAAGTGAAAAGTAAAGTTTAAAGAATTTATTTAATTTTTATTTCCATAAATCGTAAAAAAGGGACTACAGTACTCTTTCTCTTGAAAGCAGGTGAAAATGTGAATTATTTACCAAAAATAAATAACATAAAGGTGATTAAAGAAACTTATAGTTAAAATTAATTAACGTGCAAAATAACTAAGTTTTGTATCTATTTAAATTTTGATTATTAACTAAAATTTTCCATCAATGATAGAAGCATTAATAGTTTAAAATTTGGGTAAAAATTAAATTATTGTGGATAAATTAAAACTTAAAGCAATCAAAATTTGAAGAATTTGAAATTCAAATAATTTTAAACTTAAATCAATTAAAATTTAGATAAATTATAAAATTCGGATAATTTGAAACTTAAATAAATTAAAATTTGGACAAATTAAAATTTAAATTAATTTGAAACTTGAATCAATTAAAATTTAAATAAATTTAATTTTGGATAATTTGAAACGACTGTGATGTTTACAACTTTTATGATCAACGATTTTGAAGAAAAAAAAAAAATTTCAAGGTAATAAATTTTATTATTTTTTCGTGAAAACTATTTTTAAATTTTTAATCGTTGTTCATAAACGTTGTGAACTTTACCGATATAGTTGATTGCAATTAGAATGAATTAAAATTTAGATCGATTACAAATTTTAGTCAATAAATTAGAAATTTATTGAAATTTAGCATAAATAATTTTTATATTGATGAAAAAACTTTTTGATGAATTTGAAGCATGGGTTAATTAAATTATTTATAGAAAATGTTAGTGAATTTAACAACGTTTATAATCAACGATTGGAAAAAACAATTTTTTATTTGGAAAATAATAATTAATTTTTGGCCTAAAAATTTTTCTTTTGGGTTAGTCCACTGACTTTCATCTAATAGTGGTTGCGACCAATTTTTAAAAAATCTAGTTTTAATATATGTGAAACTCGATGATTCCCTGAGTTCATTAATCATAATATTATGGTAAAAATTTTATTCCCTTTAAAAATATTAAATATCAAAAGTAGGAGGTTCACAATGTGATTTTGTAACCTTAAATTTTTCAATTTTTTTAAAAACGCTATATTATTAAAAAACTATTAAAAATTAGATGTTGGAACTTACCAAAAACATAAATCACTTTATTCTGCACAGAGGAACGAAAGAATTATTGCAAAAATTTATTATTTTTGGATGATATACGATTTAAAAAAAAAATTTATTTAAATATTCTCAAGGTTTTTATTTACTTATAACTTTTTTGTCGGTGCTCCGAAAAAATTAAGGTTTTGCACAAAGATTTTTTATAATATTCTTTACCTTCCTTTAAAATCTCACGAAGATGTTTTGCTTCGTTTTGGAGATATTAATTTTCAAAATTTTCTATTTAAAAAGGTTAATAAACCGATTTGAAGTTAACTGACCAATTTCAAATCGCTACATTTTAATATATTTTTATAAAAAATGGAGCAGTTTGAATTTGGTTAGTTAACTTCAAGTCTTTTAATTAACCTTTTTAAATAGAAAATTTTGAAAATTAATATCTCCAAAACGAAGCAAAACATCTTCGTGAGATTTTAAAGGAAGGTAAAGAATATTATAAAAAATCTTTGTGCAAAACCTCAATTTTTTTGGAGCACCGACAAAAAAGTTATAAGTAAATAAAAATCTTGAGAATATTTAAATAAAATTTTTTTTAAAATCGTATATCATCCAAAAATAATAAATTTTTGCAATAATTCTTTCGTTCCTCTGTGCAGAATAAAGTGATTTATGTTTTTGGTGAGTTCCAACATCTAATTTTTAATAGTTTTTTAATAATATAGCGTTTTTAAAAAAATTGAAAAATTTAAGGTTACAAAATCACATTGTGAACCTCCTACTTTTGATATTTAATATTTTTAAAGGGAATAAAATTTTTACCATAATATTATGGTTAATGAACTCAGGGAATCATCGAGTTTCACATATATTAAAACTAGAAATTTTAAAAATTTGTTCGCAACCACTATTAGACGAAAGTCAGTGGACTGACCCTTTTAAAAATTGTTGTTTGAAAAACGTTGCAAACATTTTTTTTAGGCAAAAATTATAATAATTTGCACAGAAAGATATTTTATTTCATTGAAATCGTTGATCATAAAAGTTGTTCACTTCACCGACGTTATAGAAAAGATAAAAATCTACAATTTTGTATTCTCTAAATTAATATAATCTCCGGAATGTGAAAAAAAATTCTTTTTAAATTAATAAATTATTTCTTAACATTTCTTAGCTTAATTTTCATTGTAAATTTCAATTATTTAAAAAAATATTATATCAGTAAATTAATTGAATCATGGAAACGGTTATTTTATAGGTTGAAATATGAATAAATTAAGAAAATTTTATTGAACAAAGTGGATTTTTTGTTTGTCTATTATTAACTATAAATTATTTCTTTGAAATCAATAGAAGAAAAAAAAATTCTAAACAAATGACCTATTGTAACTAACGTTTATATATAAACGTATATATTTAATAAAATAATTTGTGAAAAATATTTATAATCATTGTACAATGAAAATAAAAAAATTAAATTTTCTTTTGATATATATAGATTTGATTAAAATAAAGTTTAGAAATTTTGTCATTCAAAAGGGAGAATAATTAAATTAATTTGGTTTTATTAAATAGAAGAAGTATTTATTTAAAAATTGTCTCTCGACATTGTTAATTGTTTACAATTAGTAATATAATTTTTAATAATAAAAACATGCAGAATTTTTTGACAGTGATAACTAACCTATAAAAAGAATTTATTTAAACATGTATAGGTAAAAGTGAAAAAAGCCAACAATAACATATTTTTTTTAAATAAAAATATTGTACCTTCAAAAGCCGCCATTTTGGCTTTTCCTTTATTATTTGGAAAATAAGTAAATTGTCAATATTTTCACCGGTTGTTGAAGAATTCACAATAAATACTATTTATTATTTTATACATTCATTGATCAACATTGATGTAGATGGGCAGGCGTCAACTGACATAAAGCATGGTTTGCAATGGATAACAAAAATACTTAATGAAAAGCTTCTGCTGATAAAAGATAGATGGTGCAAATTCAGCGCAGTTAGTTTAGCTAGTTCCCCAGTGGTGCGCTGCAATCGTTTAGATAAGAATTTAGAGGAATCCCCGAAATGTTGAATATCTGATGAGCGTAACTTCCCGTATATTGTAAATGAAACGGTGATTCCCCTTTGTATAGGGAAAACTATAAGGTCGTTTTCAAATATTTCTGAGTTATTAGATAACAGTTGGCTGCATGAAAAGTTAAAATAACCAAAGTCAAAGGTATTTTGAAGGAGAGTCCAGAATACGGGTTTCTGAACGTCGACGCGTTGATAGCAACGCGTCTGTCTTATGGGACATCAATGGGAGAGACAAAGACAGAATGAAACGTCGACGTTCAGAAACCACTTATTCTGGACTCTCCCTGATTAAACATTTAAAAAATTTTAATAATCTAAAAAGTTTTAAACAAATTAGTTGGTAGTGACTATAGTGACTCTACCCAACGCTGTACTACCCGATTATATAAAAACAAATGTTTTTTTTTCATATGTTAGCGTTGAAAGTAACAGTGTTTTATTTAATGAACTGACAAAATTAAACGCGCGCAAGCGCGCCAAATTGAATATTTCATTGTTTGTTATAAAGAAATTAAAGATTCATATTATTAATAATAATTAAATTTATTAGAATATTATTTCATATTAAATAATAATAATGAAAATTACAGGCCTCGGATTATACGACTTTTTACGACTTTTTTCAAAAATACGACTTTTATCGACTTATTTTAATAAAATGCGACATTTTTTTTACATTTGAAAAAAAATGTAAATAAAATACATTTTTTTAGTATAAAATGTAGATCTTCTTCAGATCTTCTTCAATTCAATTATTTAACAAATTTTTAACCAAAATGATTCTTCACTAAATTAATTATTTTTAATAATTTTAATTAAATACATCACAAATTCAATTATATCAAAATTATTTTTCAATTAAAATTTTTATGAAATTTAACAATTGTTTATAATTAAAAAAAAAATATCACAATAAAATTGAATTACTTTTTAAAAATTTCAATTCAAAATAAACTAAAATTCAATTATTACCCGAAATTTTAATTCAAAATCAATTAAAATTCAATAATTATCCAAAATTTTCAATTTAAAATTTAATTATTTACCAAGTTTTCAATTTAAAATGAAATAAAATTCAATTATTTTCTAAAATTTCTATTCAAAATTAATTATCCAAATTTTCAATAAAAAATGAACTTAAATTAGATTATTATCCAAAATTTCAATTAAAATTCCATTTTTTTCCAAAATTTTCAATTCAAAATGAATTGAAATTTAATTATTATCCAAATTTAAAATCAAATAAAATTTAATTATTCTCAAAAATTGGAATTCAAAATTAATTGAATTTTCAATAATTTGAATTTAAAAGTATCTAAAATTTAATTATTTCTAAAATTTTCCATCGAAATTTTTTTTTTTGAAATTTAATAATTTCAATTATAACTCTAAGGAAATTCAATTATTTTTAACTATTTTAATAATATTCTTTGAAAATTCAACTATCTGAAACCATTTTTCAATTAAAAATGATTTTCAAATTATTGTATTTTGTCCGCATTTTCTAATAAATTTTTAGTGAAATCATCTAAAATTTTAATTAAAAATCACTTAAAGTTTCAATTAATTTAAAAAATCTCAATTTTAAATCTTTGAAAATTCAATTAAATTTAAAAAATGTTTTCCAAAAATTGTTTGATAAATTATTTTTAGTTTTGTAAAATTTAATAATTGTTTGAAAATTAACAATATATCTTTTGAAATTTAATTATTTCTAAAAATTTCAACTTTAACCCTTAGAAAAGGATTATTATTAAAAAAAAATTTTATTTAAAAATCTGTACAATATTTTTGTTAAAATAAAAAACAAATCCACTTTTTTTTGGAATATAAATCGACTAAAACGACTTTTTGTGTCTTTAAGTTGATTCGAGGCCTGTGTTTTTATAATTAATATTTAATAGGTATTCGTTGGCTCCTGGTACCTTAAAAATTAATTTTTAAAAATGAATTTTTTTCAAATTACTATCTTGTACAAAATTTCCTGGTGCATCTTTTTTCTCATCATACATTTTTTGTGTTTGTATACAATTTTTGAATCAATATACAACTTTAAAAAAAATTTCGTTGGTAAACGTTGTGTACTTCAGCTTCGTGAATTGAATTTTCGAATTTGGAATTTTAAAGAAACTTTTTCCGAAATTTGGAAACACAATTATACAACTTTGGCAAAAATGAGAAAAAGAATTGTCAAAATTTGACACGTCATAAGATTACTATTCAAAAAAATACGTGAAATCAGAAAAGGCCAACTTCAAGTTAAGACAGAAGGACAGACCAAGCATTTTATTATTATATAATTAAAAAGTGTTGTAAATAATAAAAAATGTATTCAGTAGTTAATGAAAACAGAAATGTGTCATAATATATGGGACGGTCCATGCCAAACCAATATATCGTCGACTGTGACCTCTTCGATTTGACTCAAATTTTTTTACCATTTTCTACCCTCCAAAAAAGAGCTTCATGATTTTTTTCAAATTTTTTCATCAAGCCGCTTACGAGATATGAATTTTTCAAAATTGGAGAATTTTAATTATTTTTTATTTTTGAATGCTCATAACTTCCTTAAAAATGCATCAATTTTAAAAGTTCCTTTTTTCAAAATGTGTGTTTTTAACTCAACTTTCCAAAAATTTCATGTAAAAAATTATAAAATTAAAATTTACTATATTAGGGTCAGTTGAGGTAAATGGGGACAAGAGGTTTTGTAGCTTAATTTACAGTTTTAAAATTAAGTTCAGTGTCAATATTTTAACCTCAGATCACCTGCAAGAGGTTTTGAGTATTGCCAAGCTTTTATCTTGACAATTGGCAGCAAGATAAAAAAAGTTATCGCTCAATGCATAAAAACTTGAAAATCAATGTCAAACTGTTTCAGTATTTTGTCGAGCATTTCAAAGAAAACGGACTTAAAAATTATACCAAATTTTTTTCTTATTCCTTTTGACTCCCATAACAGAAATTCACTTGAAATTTTGATTTTTATGAATTTGGTTAATAATGACAAGCTGTCCCCATTTACCCTGAGTTTTCAAATTTTTGGGGTAAATGGGGACAGCTTGTCATTAATAACCAAATTATCAAAAATCAAAAATTCAAGTGAATTTCTGTTATGGGAGTCATAAGGAATAAGAAAAAAAGTTGGTATGATTTTTAAGTCTAGGAATGAAACTATTTTAACACCAATCCACTTTCTTATCGACTATATCAAAATGTAAAATGATTATACCAGTTAACGGAATTCTAAATACAGAAAATGAAATATTTTATTCTAATACTTGTTACAGGGCGTATTAGAACTTAACATTTGGAGTTTTCTTATAATACAATTATGAATTTCGCAAAAACTATTCTAATTTTTGTTTCTAAATATATTAAACTTTATTATTTTTATTTTAGGCATTCTTAAAAAATAGTAATGAAATCTATTACCACCTCAAAATCTTCCGCAATTGTAACTTAATATACTAAATATGAGTGTCAAAATATTAAATATCCTTACAAGATTTCTTTCCGTGTAGTTTTTAAAAAATTTTCAAAACAAATCGAACGCTACATATAGTTTTAAAAATAACATTTTAATTTGCAAAAATATAAATAATTTTTCTAGAATTTTTTGCACCAAATTTTCGAAAAGTTCACGTAAAAAAATGTTTTAAAAAATCGCAGATTTAAATGCAAAATGATGTCTAAAAAAATATTTATCTGTTAAATTGTAGTTGGGAAAAATGATTTCATGAAATTCGATTTGTGTAAATAAATGTACGTAAATTAAATCTCGAGTATATATTATTCATTCCTAATAAGGATTATATTGAGCACAACATCATAGTGGTGGACAATGAAAAAAAAAACTGCAGTAAGTAGTATAAGCGGTTTAAGGGAACTCGGACAGACCACAAGTAGTACAAATTCACTTCACAATGAATTGTGCTAGATGGGTGAACAAACATCAGGCGAGTTATGTATTTTATATAATTATTTAGTCACCAAAGACAATATGGAAAACCGCTAAAATGGCTTAATTCAAATTTTTAATTTCATTAATTTTGACTAATTATTTGAAACAACAATAATTTACAATAGAGCTTGTAAGATAAGGGATAAATAAACAAAAATGATTTTGAGACAATCGCAACGAGGAATTGATGAATAAATATCTTAAAATATATAGTAAAGATTTTAGATAAAAATTTTAATCCTTCATTTATGGCGCTTTACGATGAAGGAGGATTTAGTTGCAAAAAATTTTAGGTTATGTTTTAGTGAAAGTTTTACCATAGATCAAAGGTTAATTTTTAATTAGATAAAATCAAAATCAGTTTTAATTGAATATTTTGAATTTAATTAAGACTTCACAGAAAAAACTGAACTCAGAATGAGCCGTGTAGGCGGCTCATTTTGATGTGCAACAAAAATGAACCAGGTTGGTGGCGCCACTGTCTATGTCGTTTAGCATTGGCTCATTTTGATTTGCATCAAAAATGAGACAAGGTTTTTTCTGTGTTAAACATCAGTGGTTTGTATTAAGAGTTGATGCTCTTTGTGTATTTTCACCACTCCAAAAATCACAAACATAACCTACAATTTTTTGCAGCTAAGGTCTCTTTTACCGTAAAGCGTCACATTTATAGAAAGTATGAGAGTTTGAATAAAAACACTTAATACTTTTTTTCTATGTTTAATTAATTAATTTAGACAAACATATTCAGTATAATATACATATATATATATATATTTTTTTTTTGCAGTAGTTGTAGTATTTGTTTTCACGCTTTAAAGTATACTTTTCAAGGAAATAATGAATGTTTGCTTTTTATTTTTAAACTCGTATA